ATAGACTTTCTAAGGTATATTAATATAATCGTTTAATTTGTGAAAAAAAGACTTGTATAATGTATATTGTTAATGTCGTTTAATCAATATATGAATGACTCGTCTAATGTGTATTACTAGACTTACTTGTACATCGTTTGACTCGTCTAATATTGTTGGTTTTACTTCTAATTAATGTTTCCTAGACTTGTCTAATAATTATTGTTATATTCATCTAATCAACATATGAATCATTAATCAATGTATGTGATTTGTTTAATATTTTTTATACCCATTTAATTATTGGATGGTAGTATCCTCTAATGATGTTAGACTTGTTGTTGGTAATTTTTATGTTATACTATTCTAACTAATCAATGTATGCAAAGACTTGTTTGATATGTATTGGTAGACTCGTCTAATCAATATATCGACAAACTCGTCTACTATGTATTGCATGATTTGTATAATCAGTATATGGACACACTTTTTATATCCTTTTACGTCGAATGACAATTCTAAACGACGTTTAATAATTGCATTTATTTACAAAAATGCCACCGATCATTTTTAACGTTGGCTATTGAGTGGTTCGACGTTGAACGCGTGACGTTATACGCTGTTTTTGCACTAGTGCGAACACACTTATCTAATGTGTATTACCAGACTCGTCTAGTATGGACAAGCTTGTCTAATGTATATTACAAGACTCATATAATAAAAAAATGGATAGAGTCGTCTAATGTGTATTAGTAGACTTGTCTAATATGTGTTAACATATATTGTTATAGTCGTCTATTAGTGTGTAAACAAACTCGTCTAATGTGTGTTGCAAGACTCATATAATCAACGTACAAACATATTCGTCTAATGTGTACTCTTAGATTCATCTAATTAACGTATGGAATGACTTATTTAATATTTTTTTGGCTATACTTATCTAATAAGTACAGACTCGTCTAATGTGTATTATTGTACTCATCTAATATTTTTCGTTATACTCATATGATCAATGTGTGAACAAACTCATTGTAAGATTTATCTAATCAGTGAATGAATAAACTTGTCTAATGTATATTAACATACTCGTTTAATTTGTGAATAAAAAGACTTGTATAATGTATATTGTTAATGTCGTTTAATCAATATATGAATGACTCGTCTAATGCGTATTACTAGACTTACTTGTACATCGTTTGACTCGTCTAATATTGTTGGTTTTACTTCTAATTAATGTTTTCCTAGACTTGTCTAATAATTATTGTTATATTCATCTAATCAACATATGAATCATTTAATCAATGTATGTGATTTGTTTAATATTTTTTATACCCATTTAATTATTGGATGGATTGTATCCTCTAATTGTATTGTTAGACTTGTGTAATTTTTATGTTATACTATTCTAACTAATCAATGTATGCAAAGACTTGTTTGATATGTATCGGTAGACTCGTCTAATCAATACATCGACAAACTCGTCTACTATGTATTGCATGATTTGTATAATCAGTATATGGACACACTCGTATAACGTATATTGTTAGACTTATTTGATTAGTGTATATTCAAACTCATGTAATGTATTTTGTAAGCCATTTAATGAGTGAACAAACTTGTTTAATATATATTAATATACTCATCTAATCTGTGTATAAATGTATTTGTCTAATACATTGTTACACTCATTTAAACGACATAGACATTTTATTAATATATGTGCAAATTCATATAGTAAGTCTCATTTAATCAATGAATGGACAAACTCATATTGTATATTAATAAATTCGTATAATTTGCACATGGACAAACTTGTGCAATGAGTATTATCCGGCTTGTCTTATCGATGTATGAACATATTCGTCTCATTTAATGTTTGTATCTATACTTGTTTAATGGTTCTATGGACAAACTCCTTCAATGTATATTGTTAAACTTCTTTAATCAATGCATCGATAACTCCGTTTAATATTTTTTGTTATATTTTTTTAATCAATGAATGGAATAGCTCGTCTAATGTTTTTTGTTATACTCGTTTAATTAGTCTATGAACAAACTCATCTAATGTATATTACTATACTTGTTTAATGTTTGTTAGACTAACTTAATAAGTGTAGACATATTCATCTAATGTTTATTGCTAGACCCTTTTAATGTTTTTTTTATATTCGTTTAATTAATAAATAAAATAATTCATCTAATAATGTTTTTTATACTCATTTAATTAATATATGGATAGATTGATATAATATCTTTTAATATATATATATATATATATATATATATATATATATAATTAACCACTTATTTAGAAAAAAAAAATCTTCTATATGGCTAGTCTAGATAGTTATGGATTAGATTTTTTAAATTTCCAGATTCATTATATATTAGATTTATAATTCAAATTAAATATATTTTAATTAAATTTTGATTTTTTTTCCATTTAACTAAATTGATACTTTGAAAATTGATTTTAAGTCTATTAATCTAATATACCACATTATTAGGTCTATTATATAAAAATTGAATTAACTTGATTCTATTTTAATGTAAACTGACTTATGAAGATTTGAGTGTGATTTATTAAGTTTGGCTTGGATCAGAGTTAATTTGAATTAACATGGATCACTGACTTGACTTGATTTGTAATCATGTTGATCAAACTCTTTTTATGATTCAATTCTATCCTTCTCCGGAGACGGACTCAACTCAATTCTTTGGTTTGAGTGAATTCTTAACTGTTTAGGAAGGTTAATTGGTCACTTAAAAACCAGTAAGCGTACGTAGTGAATAACTCTCTCATAAAGGAACTTGAATCATGTCCATTATTCCATGGGTTCTGAGGCCAAAGATATAGCCAGAAACTCTTTTTAGCAGTCACACACAAGAAATTAGCAAGTCCTTTTCATTTTAATGAAAACGCCTTCAAAATCACAAATTTATTAATCAAGAATACAATCGAACCACACAAATTATATTGCCCATTTACACTTACAGAGCATGCATGCATTACAGAGAGCAAAATGAACATATGAAACCACATGATGACTTATTATTGGGTAAAGCAGTGGAAGAAATGAATGTTTTAAGCAGACATGATAATGGCGTCTAAGTGCGGTACTTGGAGGCAAAACGATTAACCAATGCAAGAGCATTACTGGTGACTTGAGAAGCATCGACAACCTTAGGTTTAATGGAAGACTTGGAATTAGCATCATCAATGCTGTCAAGACACGTGTCCTGATAAGTCATAGCAGCACTAACCCAAGTCTGAATATTGCTGATGTGCCACCGGGAATCCTTCCCCTTCCGGTTACCCAGGAGGCCCAGCTCCTTCAGCGATCGGTTAAGATTGTCCACACTATCATTCATGTTCTCTATGCAATCTTGCACCGCATTGTTCTCTCTTACTTTCAGTCCCTTCGTCTTCTCCATTTTCTCAAGAGATGATACGCATGATCGAGTCTTGGATACGCTCACGCTCAGGGCAGTGCTGGCTAGTTCTTCCTCGCTCTGCCTAATCTTGCTGGCGTAGCCTGAGAGGCTTTCAACGCACGCCACGGGGTACCTTGTCGCCTTGCATGAGGACTTGATAAAGTCTGTTGTCGCAGCTGGGCTTTTGCACCAAAGTAGGCAAATATGCCTCTAATATTACCAAAATGGGCAAATTCAAACCATATTACGAAAATGGGGAAGTCGTGAGGGGCCCAAACGACTTCAAATGAAGAAGTCGTGCCCCTCCTGCACGACTTCACACTGTTCATAGCAACAGTGTTGAAGTCGTGCACCCCAAAAACGACTTCTGGGTCCTGTAATCGATTACCATTTTTTGGTAATCGATTACACAATGTTGAAATCCTGACCCCTGCAAGACTGAAAATGGACGAGCGTTCAATGCAAATGGACGAGCGTCCACTTCTCCTGCCGAGCGTCCACTTTTGGTGCAAGGCGGAAGAGACGCTCGTCCAGGCAGAAGCGGACGCTCGTCCAGGCAGAATAGGACGCTCGTCCAGCCAGGCAGAAGAGGACGCTCGTCCAGCCAGGCAGAGAGAACGCTCGTCCAGAAAGCTAAGAGGACGTTCGTCCATCTAGCTAAGAGGACGCTCGTCGAGATGCGCTCAGTGGACGCTCGGCAGGAGAAGTGGACGCTCGTCCATTTTCAGTGAACGCTCGTCCACATACAGATCGTCCGCGCCCGGGCGCGCGATTCTTTCAGAAAGTTTCAACACTCTGTAATCGATTACCAAATCAATGTAATCGATTACAGGATCCAGAAGTCGTTTTTGGGATGCACGACTTCAACACTGTACCTATGAACAGTGTGAAGTCGTGCAGGGGGGGCACGACTTCTTCTTTTGAAGTCGTTTTGGCCCCCCACGACTTCACTTTCGGTCAAATTTTGCCTATTTTGGTAATAAAGAAGGCATATTTGCCTACTTTGGTGCAAAAGCCAGCAACAGTGTTGAAATCGTGCACCCCAAAAACGACTTCTGGGGTCCTGTACTCGATTACATTTTTTGGTATCGATTACCCAATGTTGAAATCCTGACCCCTGCAAGACTGAAAATGGACAGCGTTCAATGCAAATGGGAACCATGCGTCCACTCTCCTCTCGAGCGTCCCACTTTTGGTGCAGGCGGAAGAGACACTCGTCCAGTCAGAAGCGGACGCTCGTCCAGGCAAAT